AACCAGTTTTAAATTCCAATTATAAATAATGAAATAGCAACGAGTACATCTTCCATTTCAGTGTAAGTTATAAGCATTAAACAAGTTTTCTTAAAATGCATCAACTTAGTCATGTTTAAATCCTCTTACCTCCAAAAAGGCTTAAGCTTACGATGATCACTAGAATGAGACCTAGGAAAATGGAGGCGATGACCATCCACAGCTTACATTTTCCGATCACATTCCTATTACAGGACCTCCAAGGGTTTTTCTGGTTAGCCTGGAAAATAGAGAAGATCGTGAGACAGTCACTCTGTTTCAACAAACATTTTTGAATAGCTAGTATGGGCCAGTGATACAGAAATGTGCGTAGCAGGATCCTGACCTCAAGGGGCTACTCTACAGAGTCAAGTTTACAAAGGGGTACAGTGGAACTTCACAAAAAACGTTTTCAAGAAAATGCCCTGGGGGCTCTGATGTAGCGAGGACAGGCAGGATTTTGAAGGATGGACAGAGAAAAACACCTCAAACCCAGGAAGGAGCATCCTTGGTGTTGATTCATAACGGAAGTGGGCAAGAGGCTCATCTGATTGATCAGTGGGTTTCGCAAGCAAGTAATGAGAGTTGAAATTAGAAAGAGGGAAAGGTTGGAGCATATTTGACAGGGTTTTAAATGCTGCCAGAGCAGTTTGGACTTAATTTGGTGTGTACTCGGGACCTGTTGAAGTTTCTGGAACACAAAAGCTAAATTGAAGATGAAAAGAAAAATGATGTGGAGTTTAGAGTGGACACACCAAGGAAAAGCAAAGAGGCTACTGCTGTGGCCCAGACGCTATGCAATAAGGGCCTAGGAAGGGAAATGAAGGGGAGGATGAGAAAGATACCAAGAAATAAGCTGTAATGGAGATAGTGAAGCTCAGTGTGCGCTCAAATTAAGTAATTATAGTCAACACCAATTCATTTCATCCTTACAGCCCGCAAGGAATGCATTAGCCCATTTCAAAGATGCAGTTCAGAGAGAATAGCCGGGACTAATCCTTGCCGTGTGTCACCGCAAAGCTGGCACGCTCTCCCTTTTGTCCACAGCCTCCCTGTGTCTCCCTGTAGAGCTCCAGGTCATAAGCTAGCCTGGCTGCCATGGGGCTACCTCCACTCTCAGCACTACGGCCTGCCCCTAAAAGGTGCCATGACCATTCTCCTACCTCCCCTTGAGCCGTTAGGTAATCCCCACATGGAAACCATGGGAAACAATGGAATATGATGGGGGAAAATGTGTTTCTGTATCAGGATTCCAATCCCCGTTATTACCACTTATAGGCAGGGAGGGTAGCTATCAGCAAGCTATGAAAACTCCCAGCCCCAATGTCCTCAACTCTAAAATATACAAATAAATCTAGCTCACAGGGCTGTTGTAAAAACTAGAGATCACATAAATGAAGCACTTGCTAAACAAATATTAGGACCTCAACAAATGGGGGTCATCATTACTGAGTGTTTACCTGTCCCACAAAGCAGAAGCAGGCACCTCCGGAGTGCCTTAGTGCTTTCAAAATGACACCTTGTTCACTTTCTGTCCCATCATGATTTTAGTGGTGGCCATTAGAAAAGAAATCTGGTCACCTAATTAGGACTACAGCTAGACTTTTTCAGTGAGAGGTTCCCAAGCCTGGCTGCGTATCAAAATCACCTGAGAAGGAGCTTAAACTACACACACCTAGGCCCTACCAGGACCTAGACGACCAGACTGTAGGAAGGGGGGTGGGGAGGAGGGCAGGTTCCGGCTTGTAATTTTAAACCTCCCAAAGTGAATCAATTGCTTTAACAGCATTAAGACCTCTGGTCTGAAGCCTCCCCACTCTTNAAATATCCCAGGAATCCAAATTACAGTCTAATTTAAGGTTCTGACTCTAAAGCACCCACATATATGAGCCCCAAAGGAACCACAGACTGGCCTCAGAGAATCCTTAGAATCCCTGGAATTGTAAAATTTTGTATAGAGGGAAGAGTATGTGCATTGTTTTACTGGGAGAAGGTTCAAATTCTATAAGGGGCATACAAACCTAACCATTTTTTTGTTTTATGAGGTCATCTTGTGTTGATCTTGGTTGTGAACGAACCCAACAATTTTAAGAATCTCTGCTCTTTGATGAATTAGAACATGATTTATGTGGGAAGCTAGCTGCCCAGCTCATCACAGGAGGTGGGTGGGAGTAGCCTGCCAAGCCCACAGCACACGTGAACATGGGGAACTGGCCTAAGAACAGACTGGGTCTCACTTGGTCCCTCCCAGGGACTTCCGCCTATCCCTGCCACAGCCATCTCTTCCCTTTGTTTGGAGTCCGCCTCTGAGCTTGTCCCCTATCTTGGCCTGCCTGCCAGTTCTGGTCTCTCTTCTTCCTTCCTCACTTTCCAAATGGTCACTATCGACCCTTCCGTTTGAGAGGTAACTGATACTCATATTCCTGGAAATATCAAATGGCTCAAATACTGCTCTGGAAAGTGGATGTGGGGTCACAACCTGTCCCCCAGAAGAAATGTCTGAGAGAGACAATCTCCTAAGCAGAAGCTGGTTAGCTCACTCCGCATCCCCAGGGCCTGAGGCAGAGCCTGTACTTGGGGGAATGTCTCTGAGGCTGTTTGGCTGAGGTCAAAGTCTTCTCAGAGCTCTCCTCAGGCCTCACAAGCAACCTGTCCTTCATCATACCATGTGTGGACCTCCCAACCTCATAAGCCTCTTAAAGCTTTTCTCACCCTTCTCCCACCTCCCTAACTTACCTTTGGTAAGAGGTGATAACCACAATATTACAAGGCTCAGCTCAGAAAATTAAAGTCACATCACAGCCTCCCTTTTCTCATTTCTTTACACAGGAGGGAGTCATAGGATTATTCTTTCATTTTAAAATTCTTATAGAGGAAGCATAACCCCTTCACTCCATACATGTATGCCATCTGCCTAGCTCACAGACACACTTTATTTATTTAGATCCTCTGTGAGGAAGCTATTCATTGATGAGATTTTCCCAGTGAGCTAAAATTTGGCCTTCTGAATAGCATTCTTTCTATTCATCTGGGAAAAAGAAACTTTAAAAAGTGCTTTATATAATGTTCTGTGTTCTTAGGCTGAGATTAGTCTACTCTCACCTCCCATCATCAAGAAATAAATGTCGGGGCCGGCCGAGTGGCTCAGTTGGTTAAGCGCTCGCTCAAGAGTGCGAGCTCTGAGCAACAGCGGTTCGAGTCCTGGCCCGAGCTGAGCAGCTGCTGAGCTGCCATCAGGTAGCAGGATAGCTCAGCTAAAAAAAAAAAAAAGAAGAAGAAGAAATAAATGTCATCATAATAAGCACTTCTTCTGGTGCTTTGCAGTGACATGTGCCTTCTACGAGTAATCTCTTTGTTCCACAATTCTGATTCTTGGCTGCTGGCACTATGCCTGGTTCTAACCGCATCTCCTTCTAATTTCTGTTTGTCATGTATTCAACTAGTATTTCCTACTACCAATGTGCAAAGAGTGTTTCTGATGGATTGTGTGGATGAGAAAAAAAAAATACCCAAGAATGTTGGCATTATGGGCATGCATCTCCAAAGAAAGAATCAGAAGTGGGAAATAGGAAGGGATGGAACACACAGGCCAAAGCTTCAGTAGAGATGCAATGGAAAGATATTTAAAAAGCTGTGGTAGTTTTCTAAGGAAAGAGGCTCATCGGCCTTTTTATACCGCTCTGTTAATTTCTTAATGGACTCAGTGGCCTTCAACAGAAAAAGAGATAGGTTCCTACATTGAGATAATCTGTCAGTTATTTAGCTATAGTGTTCATTTCAAATTCTTCAACAGTTCTTTTGTGAAAACACAGTTTTTTTTCATGAAGGTTACAGCCATACCTCAGAGATATTATGTGTTGGGTTCCCGCCGACTACAATAAAGTGAGAATCGCAATAAAGCGAGTTGTAATCTTTTTGTTGGTGGAGGGTCTTGCCTTCAATTTGTAAAAAATGTGACATCTGTGAAGCACAATAAAGTGAGGTATGCCTATAATAATGATACTACAACATGGGATATGGGGCTTAGAATGTGGGTGAACTACAAGAACACATTTGACAACCCTCGTCTTTATAGTTTAATTATTTTTTCCATGATTCCCCCCCCCCCCAACTACTCTCTCTGTCTGCTCATTAAGGGCTGAGACTATGTAACCTCCACAGAGTGAGGAACATCACTGCACAGAAATCAACCCAAACCATCCGTCCCCAAGCTGGGTCGCTTGTTTACCTTCACAACTCTGTCTTCTTGACTTGCTTGACTTACCGTAGAGCAAGAGGGAATCTGGACTGAGCCCCAGAGTCTCGCAGCCAGGCATGTTCTGATCATGGAAATCCTGCCGCAAAACGCTCAGCACCAACTCCTCACTCATCATATACTTCATGAAACTATCATCTTCTGACGGAACCCCAAACTGCAGGTGGTAGGCTATGGTGGCATTTTCACCACTGAAAGGCAAACCAAACAGAGACAGTAAACATACAACAGAATTGCACTGCAACTCAGGAAATCGGTTTTAGCAATAACATTTCTTTAGCTCCCCATGTTCTTCCAAGTACAAAACAGCAAATGATGTGCTATCCTAGAAGAGTGCACTGTCCTAGAAGAATCCTCTTCCATAGGTCCATCATAAAAGGTTTAGGTGATCCTAACGTCCTCCTTCCACCTAGAACCCATCGCCCACGAGTCCAGTGAGAGAGGCCATCAGAGGGAGAGGCGTGACCCAGCTACTGTCAAGCATGCTCCAAGGGCCGGCACATTGTCTGCCCCAACACCAGCCTTTTACCCCCAAAGGCAGACCGGGAAAGCCCTGTTCTACTCCTGTATTCTTTCTCCGGGTTCTCACACTACACCCTCTCCCTGCCCCGACAAGTGCACATTAGTCAAAGCTACTCGGTTTAGCCAGTTCATTATTTAAGCTATAAAAATGTTTTAGGTCAGGTCCAAAGCTCCCTGCCATCAGCTGGGTGCAAAGCTCCTAATCTCCCACAGGCTGCTCTGTGTACCAGCAGTAAATCATCCCTCCCCCGTTTGTCCCCAAAGTGAGAAGCTCGTTCTGTCACATTTACTCTCCTGAGGCTCCCAGCTTTGCAACTCTCAGGAAGGGGACCTAAGGAAAAGGAGACCTAGAAATATCTTCCTAGAACATAGTTTTCCCATTTCCAAGATGAAAATAATCATAGGGCTATCCTTAGTTAATTAGTGGCTTATGCCATTTGTTAAATGCTACCTCGACCTTTAGATTTTTCACAAGTATCCTATTTACTTTGGTTCAAGAAGGCCCAGATTAAGAGCCAGCAATAAAACAATTAGGAGGTGGCCACATCTGAGACTCTCACCCTAAGGCAAGTTTCATAAACACGCCAGGCCCAGGAGTGAACATTGCCTCTGCTAAAGACCGTTAAAGTGCACCCTCTTGTGGCCAGAAGTCACATAGGCCAGTCCTCTTACATTAATATGGCTGACGATTCCGTTTATAAACTCTACAGCAACCCAGAAGTGTGCCAAACCTTGGGGTTCAAATGAATAATATACAGTCGGGACTCTGGAGACACTCACAGTTTCAAGGACACCACTACAGGCAGGCTGACCAATGAACTTTCAAACCTTACGCCAGCTACTCCAGTTTGCAGGTGTACCCCATGCTCCACCTTTTAATTATCACTAATGATAGGAAACATCTTGACACGCAGCTACCCTGCCCTCTCATGGGCAAGGACTGGGGTCAGCTTATGGAAAGGACCAGAGGCTGCCTTTCAGAAGACCAGGCCAGAAGCTGAATGAGAAGATCGCTCTGCCTAACCCAGCCTGGCTAGTCCATCCTCATCTGACCAAGTCAGGTCACGGGGTGAATTTACGTTAGGCTGAATTCTGAGGGGAGAAGAGGGGCTTTCAGGGAAGCAGAGAACCCTGTGAGCTTGGCTTCAGCTGCCCACAACTAGAGTGGGTCCAACAGCTGATTAACCAACGGGCATTTTCCCAGGTTCCTGTTGGGCCAGTCCAACACTGAGGACAGGACCCTAGACACAAATGTCTGCCAGGCACGTGGCTGTCTCCTGCTCATGTGCAGCAACTGCCTTTTGGAGGCAATGGCTTCTGTTTCACAATCCAACATTGTTGAGACTCTGCCTGGATTTTTTTCTTAATGAAACAAAAATGTTTCCCAGACAGAATTTCTTTATCCAAAATACTAAAAGCCTTGGGTTTTTCTTCCCAATTACCTTTAAAAGCAGATTCTATAACATTGTCTTTGGATTTCTAGCCATGTTTGACTGTTTTCTGATGTTTTTTTTCCCCAAAGTCTACCCCAGCCCATTAGGCAATCCCAGTTCCTCTGGACCCCGTATAATAGGAGGCTGGATTCTTGGAAAAACACTTCAGGCTTGGGCATCTTCCCTCTCTCCACTCTGTCTCAGTCTCTGAGCTACAAGTCAGAGCAGGGACATGGAGAAAAGCATGTAGGGTCTGATTATGCATCTCTCCCTTTTCTATTGGCATTTCCATACCAGTGGTTTATGATTAAAATAAGCAGTGTCAAAGGTGTCACCATAACGTAACATGCACTGGGGGATCGAGCCATAAAGAAGGAGGGATAGTGAGTGTTGTTGCCAAGGCAGCCTGCCATTGTGTGCGTTTTCAGACTTCAGGTCCACGTTGGTCCTGCCTGTTGCGCTACCACTTGCGTTACATGCTTTCCTTCCCAGGTGTACTCATGTTACGGTTTAGAAAATGTATGGTTTGAAAGGGGAAACTTCAATATAATATTGCCTTTGATGGTCACATTCCAGGGATATCTTAGGGATAGTACATAAGAAAGCTTAGCCATGTAAGTCTTCTCCTAACAATACATAAGGGATAATCAAATGAGTCCTCTATACACATACACCCTTTTACATAAATGCCCATTGATAAAGATAAAAACATTAAAGATAAGGAGGAAATTTAAAAAAAATGTGTGTGTGTGTGCTATACATGTATACTATAGAAAGTACATGTGGTAAATGCATGTACAGAAGAAAGCACACCAAACTGTAGATAGCTGTTCATTTTGAACAGGGAGTTTTTTTTATTCACTATGTGTATGGAATTGATGGGCACACACAGTGTCCAGCAGTAGGAGGGCAGAGGTAGGGCAGAAGGTAGACTTTCCCTGTAGTGTATATATTTATATTTTTTAATATTATGCAAGGAATTTAGACCCCTGTAATACTTGTATTTCTCAAGATCCGATACATGGATTCTATTATTTGTATCACGTCACTATCTGAGGGCTATTTCTATTTTGACCATTAGCTTATTTGAGTATCTGCTCTTAAACAGGTATGATCTACCTGAGCCTGTTTTTCCTCTCTTCCGTGTGACCTTGTTGAGTCATCTCATTAATCTGGGCTTCATTTTTCTCCATTGTAAAATAGCAGAGTTGAGCTAGTTGGTGTACAAAGACCCTCCCACCACAAACACTCTATAATTCTATCATTGGTTCCCTTCGTGCTTTGAGACTCTGGAAGTCCTTCTAGGAAAAAAAAAACAAAAAAATGGTGATGGGAGTCACTTTCCAGAGAAAACAGACCAACATGCAATGCTCCACATTCTTACCTTAAGTCCACAATTTCCACTGAAGTAAAATAACGACTCAGAGACGGGGATGAACTGTACACATCTGTGAGCTGAAACAAACAGGAACAAGTAAAACAACCACACACATTACTGCCAGATAGTGACAAACAGAACTATTCCTAGACAAAGAACATTCCACGAGTGCTAGAAATTACCTTCTCCAGAGAGCTTGGATCAAAAAATAGAAAGGGGAGGACCTAATCCCAATCAAAATGCAAGTTGACACTCACTTAAAAGAACCTCACTTATAAGGATCAAGTGATCAGACCAGGACTTACAACATCTCATAGGCTGTGCTGACATCTTGTGGCCTTAATGGTGAGCGTGGTCAGCAGCCTGAGCCTACACACACCCCAAGGAACATGGTAAGGAGAGAACATGGCAGTGGCTGGGAAGAGTGCAGAACAGGCCACTCAAGGGCCTGGCATGTCACTGGACAAGGGCTGGTTTCTCCTTGTTCTCACTGCAAGGAGAAATAGCCATGCTAAGCCACAGGTATGGAAGCACTTTCCCCTGAAAAATGGGACCAAGTAGGGCTTGTCTGTAATTGCAAAGATATGGAATTCTTATTTTATGCATGAAATATTGCCATCACAAAAAATAAGGACACCTGTGTTCCACGACCCAGGTTTCATGCCTTCAGATTTTACCAATTTTAGTTCAGCCCTTTACTTTAAGAAACAAAACAAAGCTAAAGCTGCTCCTTCACATGATTCTTGGTTTCCCCCGCTTCCTCCCCTAGGGCTTGCTACCGTCCTGAAGCTGGCGTGTAGCCTTTTCATGTATGTTTTTATAACTGTAATACTCCCTTGTGTAATCATGACAATACATAATTCAGTTTGTTTTTATTCAAATAAAAAGTACCATAATCTTCTAAGACTTGCTTTTTTT